TATATTTTTTACTTTTTTTTTCTGTTTTTCTTTTAGCCCTTAGAAAATCTCTGTGAACCTCCCCCCAAAAAAACTCTGTGTCATTTCTTGTTTTTGTTTGTTTTTTTCATTGTGCTTTTTTATTTTTTTCTTCGTTGGCCCTGTCTCTTATACACATCTGATGTGTATAAGAGACAGGTGTGTGTGTGTGTGTGTGTGGGTGTGTGTGTGTGTGTGTGTGTGTGTGTGTGTGTGCGCTCGCGATATGGCTGGCTCTCACACAGCAATTCCTCTCTGTTCACTTATCCACCGAGCACCAACCCGACCACCTGTCGTCCTTTACCTTAAAGAACCCTTCGAGTGGTGCGCATTCTTCCGTCCATCACCCCTTACTCATTCGCCCACTTTCGGACACCCACTGCCTTCGCATGCCCCCTCATTCCAGAATACTCCCTGTCTCCGAAGCGGGTAAGAGTTCCGAGCATGAAGATAGTGTCTTGTGTAGAGATGCTGTGCTATCATGGGAAGGCGATACGGTGTACAGCGACGACGAATAAAAGAGAACGACGACCAATAGCAACAATAGCAGCAAGAAGACACAGCGACGCCCATTAGCTTCAACGGCATGAAGACGACCTGCGTACAAGGCCAGCAAGCATGCTCGAATCCACAACAAGTACGAAGCCGACGTGAGAAAGATCCCTCCCCTCTCCCCCCTCCCCCGCCCTCTTACCCGAAGCCCGCCTACCGGCTTCGGGCCGGCCTTGGCGGGCGCTCAGTTCAGGCTGTGAGGCTGCATGCCTCAACGGTCACTTTTCTGCAAAACGGTAACTTCCAGTGCCTTTTTAGGGCCTACCAGTGGCACTACTCGCCATACGCCAAAATTTTGAATGCACCTGGACGATACTTCGGTTCCGATTCATTCCGACTTTTGGCGAATGGCGAATAGTGCAACGAGGCCTACAGTAGTTGTACAACTCACGATCGTCCTTCGGGACGTCTGTTAAAATTGGAACGATACAGAGAAGGGTGATTAGCATGGCCCCTGCGCACTCAAGGATGACACGCATACATCGAGAAATGGTACAACTCACGATCAGCCACAGGATTTCTTGTGTTTTTTCTGTTTTTAACCTTTTTTCGTTTTTGTTTTTCCTTTCCTGACCGCTGCTTTTGTGGACCCGGTTGCGCGCGTTTTAGCTTTCTGCCCGTTGATCTTCAGAATCTACGGCCATAAGTGAACAACGGGGGCTAGCGGGACCTGCCCCTCGTGGCCAGGTCCCACTAGCGAGAAGGATCGGATCAAGCGCCTGGATCTGGATGTACGGAGATGCAGAAAAGCAGAAAACAGATCAGTCACGACTCTCTGCACCCCTCTCCACAAACACGTCTAGATTCGGGCATTAAATCCAATTTTGTTTGCTGGTGGGACCCGATCCGCGTGCTACTGGACTTTAGAGGGGGGGATAGGCGGGGGGGATGAGGGGAAGTACTACCGTAGGGAGGGTTCGCCTGAGGGCGTACTCACACTGACACTTTTTTACCTCTTTCTGGACGGAATTAGGGTCAGATGCATACAGGTCGGAACGTAGATGCAGCCAGATGCGTTTGTGATACTGCTACCCTACTGTCAGTAACCCCTGAGCCGCGTTTTCATCCCTTTTCCCGCCACCCTCTTTTTCTGTTTCTCGTTTGTTTTCTTGTGTTTTTGGCTGCGACGGCTTTTTTTCCAAGGGTCGAGGTCCCACCTGTCGGACACGTTTTTTCAACCGTAGATGACAGATCCACGGTCAAGAATGAAGAACGCGCGGAGGGGAGACCCTGCCTAGGCCCTCAACGGCGAACGTTCCCCTTACCCCAGCGGAGGGAGCGCCAGTCCGATGGAACGTTTGTTCGCCGCGGCGCTATATGCCCCGACGCGTCCTACCGGTAGCCTCGGTGTGGTGAGGTAAGGCGATCTCCAGCTACCCGTAGCTTCCCTAGTGGAGCAGCGTTCCACTTCACGGAGCCGCAAGCCTCGTAGCTCGGTTGGCTAGAGCTCTCTCTATTCTGGTTGGTGTGCATGCTCAGTTGGTGTTAGTATGACACCCCATGTACTTGACCCGCAGCCCAGGGCAGTACACATCAACATCTATGAAACAACACACTGGGCGAATGGCCCGGTGGCTCAGTGGTTAGACCACCGGCTGGAAATGCGCATCGCGGTATGAGGTTGCAGGTTCAAAACTCTGCCTCCTCGGGCACATCTACTGTTAGGCGCTTTCATAACGCCCGCCCATTCGCACATCCTACACTGCCTGCGCACCACCCAAGGGGTTAGGTTCATGATTGTGGTAATGTTGGTAGCGAGCTTTGGGGGGAGGACTGTTTGAGTGGTTGGCCTTTAGGGTTCTGATGAGTATCGAGTGTCAGTGTCTGGGCTGTCTATTGAGTATGGTCCGATGATCTTTAGGCCTGTCTCGTGTATCCATCATGGGCGGGGGGGGGGATGGGATAGGGGGATAGAACATTGTGTAGGGATTGAGGGCCTACCTGTGTGTGCCGCTTTGTGGGTGTATCTAGGTGCGCCAACCACAACTGTTTCCTGGCCACATGATCCACCCATGAGAGTCAATACCCACATCCGACGATCCTATAGGTCTCGGGTAGACCGCACTCTCTACACTCCCTTCAATAGTGGTACTGGTTGGGTATTAGGCATATGCAATTTCTACAAGCGGACTTCAGGTTGATCTCACGATGCTTATGTTTGTCTGAGTTCTTTGAGTTCCCATTGAGGGGTTGACTGGGCGTAAGTCTCAGGAAGGGCTTTTAGGTAGGGTATCATTTTAGGCAAGGGGGGGAGGTTTGTCGCATTGATGTAAGAGGGTGGCTTTGCCATCCACAATGTCCGCGCAATTTGATACAGAGGGGGGACGACCGTGTATAAAGCGACTCGGACGAACACGAATTGGATCAGTAAAATACCATAAGATAGATAATATATATCGACACCGTACCAACGGACTATCGAGGATTAATTAGGTTGTGTTACTCGATGTGGTTATATGAATGGAGGGGATAAACCCCAAACACTAATCCACCAACCTCTTGAAAAAAAAATACTGCACGAGGTAGGCAATTTGCACCAACGTTAAAATAAATAAATAAATAAAATGCAACAGCATGACAATTATTCATTTCCGTTTCTCTCGAGGATTCACGTTCAGCAACAATAAGATTCATAGTTCGTAAGAAGATTGACCTTGAAAATTATAGTAAGAAGATTAAACCGTCTTAAGAAGATTCAGTTCATTAAAATTGACCTTGATAATAGTATCAACAGTAAGAGGATTTAACAATTAAAACATATAAATAAAACTTACGAACAATTAACAGCAATAAACAGATACTATGAGAGACAGATTTACATTATCGTTCTTAACTTGTAATCGTCAACTCTTCCGTAAAATGCAGGATTCTACAAGATTTAAATTTGCGACATTCTTGATAATAGTGACAATTAACAATAATAAGATGCTACTCTCTTTCGGCATTTTTCACCTGCTTGACACCTGTTTGATTGCCCTTTTTGGGTTAGGTTGATTTTTTTTTTAATGCGAAATATTCATCAGGCTTCTCTACCGCAGGAGGTGATGGTGGTTAGGTTGATCTTAATATGATAGTATTATCAATACCAACGAGTTTATTATACTTCTAATCATCACAATATAAAAATTCCCACGATAAATGAAAGATGAAATAACATTCCACAAAAAAATATATACATATTTAAAAATTATCATTATAATGTTTGTCCAATTATAAAATTTCCAGTTTTATTTGACAAGTTTTCATCTAAAATTGATTTTTCCCTTTCAACTACATTTATTTGTTGAAGATGGAATGAAAGTCGGGACGAGTTTATGAAATATGTTAATTAAACTTTCATTATACTACAAGAAATATCTTTTAACTTATATTGGATTAACCTGTTTACGATTGAAAATTCGTATATAGAATGACAGTCCAATTAAAATATTTCATAAACTCGTTCAAACTTTCATTCCATCTCTAGCCTGTCGTTCAAATAAGAAGGGGTACCCCATTATTGAAAGAAAAGTTTTGAATTAAGACGGAAAATTTTAAAAGTGGAATGACATTTTTTAAGATGAAACAGAAATTTAAAATTTTAAATATATATTTTTTATAAAATAATTATTTAATTCTATGAAATTTTTATGTTGCAAGATCATTTAGAGGAGAGGGGGGGGGAACGAGGGGAGGGGAGGGGAGGGGAGGGGAGGGGAGGGGAGGGGGCGGGGGTAAGGGAAACCTCGACCTTAGTCAAAATCTCTTGATGGTTTTGCCTTTCTCATAATTAGGATGATGCATTTGCTATAGTTATGTGCAAACGAAAAGGGGACAATTTATTTTTTATTTTTTATTTTTTAACTTTCATAACGTTGATAAAATTTAAATAAATAAAGTACTGTCATTGAGACAAATGATAGTTGCGCCAAGTAAGAAAACACTAGAGTGAGGAAAGTGACACTTCCTACCAACAAAAAAAATATTTCAGCGAGTAGGGATAACACACTTGTATCTGCCAAAAAATAAAATAAGACAAACAAAACAA